AATGCATGTCATGTGATGAAAAATTTACATATAATAATATTTTTTTTAAACAAGATATCACGATAATTATGATTTCATTTCATATAAGTCATTCTTCTACTTTAACTCTGCAATATCTTTATAAACAAAAAAGTTATATAAAATAAACAAGAATCCGAGGGATGAGGAGCTGAGTATTTCATACACCGATGTATGATAGAAAATTTATTGCATGTAGCATTCAGGATTCAATTATTAAAATTGTTTGGGGACCTGAACAAGGGCATGCAGAAAAGAGTTGTCAAATTGTTGATAAGTGCACTGGCAGACGGGACTTGGCTTCTTCTCCTGCAACCAAAACTGTGCTTGTCTGATTCAAACTAGGGTTTTCTTTGTCAACCTAGCTTATAACCATCCCCCCAATCAAACTAAACTGCTGATTAATTAGTTTCATTAATCTGGACACGGTTGTTAACTTGTTGGTTTCAGTTCATTAGAATTCATCTAATGCATCCATTTTATCTAATATATAATAATTCCACTCAATCTAATTCATAAATTATATGATTAAATATCAAATAAAAAGATTAAGTGCACAGTAAACTATACCTAATTAATTTTAGAGACTCAAAGTCAAGCCCTTTCTAGTCTGCAATTTATTTACTTTGGTAGTTCGGATTGGGACGTATAATATATTATATATATAAAAAAACCAACTTGGTAGTAAATGATGAACACATAGTTTGTTTGTAAAATATAAACATAAAATTGACTGGTTCAAATGTATCCATGACCACTTTAGAATTTTATAAAGTTTATGTCTTAATCCATATTAAAATAAATAAAAAAGAATTATATAAAATTTTAGTACGTTATGGTATTGTATTTTTCTCTGTCGAAAAAAAAATTAATTCACAAAACGTATACGTTGACCATTGAGCCAAAAAGGCAAATCCCCGATGAACGCCAACATTACATCACAATTGTCCACGAGATAGAAGGAAAATACCAAATCTATAACTTAACAACAAAACGAAGGTCGAAAGTAATAAAACTACTGCAAATAAAAACCGCACAAACAGCTGAAAAATTTATTGTAATCAAAGTTAAGCTGAATCTTTGTCTTAGTCTAAATATCAAAAATATTACCCTAAAACAATGCTAACATCAATCTCGTCGCATTTAATGGATAATCTTTAACTTAATCTTGGGTTTTGTCGTTTTAATAATTTGTGATGTTGGGATGATGTTTTGTTTAGTAGTAGGTTTTGGAGCGGGGTTTAGTTTCGGTATTATAGACCGTCGTCATTAGAACCTAACTAATAATTAAGGCTGCCGACGCTGTCCGTTTCGGCGATTAAGTCCTAATAACCCGGGTCGCTTTCTTTCAACACGTGTCATCTCGAGCTATCTGAGATAGAGATTTTTTAATGTGATCATCACACAAGGTGGTAAACCACATATTTCTATATAAATTGTGGGTTATGTGTGTTAAAAAGTTAATAACTGAAAAATTAAAAATTTTCACCATTTTTATAAAAACATGTGATGTACCATCCATATTCTCGTCACAATTAAAAATGTAACAAGTCGGTGGTCCCCACCAGATAAAAGGCCTAAAGATTGTCTATGACAACGGGAGGCTGAAACGTGTTCTGCGTAGGGACCACGTGTCTTTTTCCACCTCGTTTTCCTTGGATGCTGCTCTCCTCTCTCCTCCTGTGCTCCACTATTCAACTGTAGACAGACGCTCTCTGCCTCTTTTATGGGCCTTATCTTCTACGCGCTTCTAATGTATGTGTGGATCCACTCGCTCAATTTTGGGGTCTAACCGAAATATATTTGCTTGCCACTTTATTAATTATTGTTGGATGAGTTTGATTTAATATATGTAGCATACAAATTTCAAAAATTTCAAATGGTATTTATACAGTGATGAGCATTATTATCAACTTATGTAGGATAACTACACCACAATAATGATGTCAAATGGTAATGTACGATAGCATGTGTAAACTGTGTATGATATCCTAACAAAAAAATGTAATCAGATAGATTTTAGTTACGATATATTCATATTTATTAATCATTTGATAGTGAAAAATGGAGTTGGACTAAGCTCAATATCAAGAAATCAATTATTTCAGAACTATTTTTTTCGTAATCAAACTAGTTTTCAGTTTTGATTCATAAAAATAATACATAATTTATAGAAAATCAATATTATTTATGTTCTCATTCTTATATAGTTATTAAACAACTCCAATGCGAATCCAATACAAGAAAGGAAGACACGATATTTGTTCAAAAATGGTCTTAGATTCTTAGTATTCATAGGATATTTGAGTCTAATTGTGCATTTCAGACTTTTAGTTGTAATTAAAAAAAAAGAAAAACAAAGTACAAGGAATCAGTTGCAGTTCTAAATTCTAATTGACGTTCAAGAAATAAATTGCAATAGATAACGCCATTGTAGGATTAGGAATCACAAAGCATTATTTAGTATTCCATGAGACTAAATTAAACTATAAACAAACAAAAAAATTATTAAACGAATTATAAACTATGTGCATTGAACCGAAAACAAATTTGTATATACAAAGAAACCATGGTGCCTATGTTGAGGGATTAAACAAAATAAACATTTAAAAAACAAGGGGGTTGTATAACATGTTTAAGAATTACAAGAATTAATAATTTATATTGAGTAGTTACATTAGTGATTTTTTTTCATAAAATTACCACATTTGTTGTAATGTGCAAGTGGTAAATGCAAATTAGAGAATAATATCATTGTGGTTAGTTGTTACATGGTTAACCACTAATTCGTTTCTTTAAAATCTTAACATAACAACTTTCGATAAAATTCCTTAGCTATCAATAGGGTGAATTTTGATCGAGTTAATTATGTTTCAAACCTGTAATTAAGTTTAATGAAAAACTTATAGAAGAATATGGGTTCATTTTCTTGGTATATTTCATGAATACTTGCTGTTTAGTTTGAATTGAACTGTCAGATGATCCCAGACCAACTAAAATTAGGTTGACTTTTTAAACAATCTCATCAAACAGTTGTTTAACTATTCATTTCTATCAGAAAAAAAAAAAAAAAAAAAAAAAGTGAAACTGTTGATGCTTCATAGTCACCGTTCTGTAGCAGTGACCCCGCAGGCTTTTATTATATAGATAGAATTCGGATCCTAGTCGGATCCTCTTTACGAGGATCCTAAAGATCCGTCAATTTTATTTATTCATCGTATATTGTGCGGTTATAAATTATTTTAAATATTTTTATTTAAAATTAAACATAAATAGTACTTGACTGACCGTACGATGTACAATAAACGAACACGATTCACGGATCCTCACCAAAAAGATCCGAAGAGAATCCTGTAGGATATAGATAAATATATAAATCAATTGGTTTTCTTGTTATTTTGCAGGTATACAGTACAGATGGGGATTAGGTAACAAATACGTCTGAGAATAACACTGCTTTAGAATCTCTGTTTAACACCGCTTAAGCCTTGCCTAGGTCATTCTTCTGTAGAAGATGATAGCAACATCTTGCACTTTGGATATCCTGCAATTTAATATCAAAATTTGCCATTTATTATTATGGTATAGTGATATTTTTCTTTACTTTTAAGTGAGAAGTCTTTGGTTCGATTATTGCTAAAAATGAATTTGAACCATATTATTCCTACCCTATTACGAAGCTAAGCCTACCATTCTCTTTAGTGAAATAATATCATTTGTTTAAAAAAAATTAAAAGTCAAAATTCACCTGCCCAAAACTTAAACAGCACAAAACTTACTTTTGATTGTTGTGTCTTTCTTGTTATATATTGCTTTGGTTGGAAGTGTTGTATTATATATGACCACCTTTTACGAGGTCTATTTGTTGAATAATTGATTGGGGTATAAATCTATCACCAAGCATACGTCTAAGTCATCAAAAAGAGGAAATTACCAACTTTTACATGTTTTTACCTTTGAATGCGTATAATGGTAAAATATGTGGCATGTGCACCAATACATGTATATTGTCCATAAGCTAAAATAATTCGATGTGTTTGGACGAGAGATTTTTAAATACTACAATTTTGAGATTAAATAAACTATGGTACACTACAAAAATGTTAAGACATGTGATGAATGATGAAATGAAGTATACAAGCATTACAAAGTCACTAAACAAAGGAATTGATTTTCACATGACATTATTTTTCTCTTTGCATACCTGTTTGGTTAAAAATTATTAGGCCTTTTAAAGAAAGGGATCTCTATTTTTTTTCTTCATAAAAGAGGGATTAGTTGTGGACTCACTTCACATCAAACTTTAACGATCAAAATCGTCTATTTTGTAAGTTTCTTTTCACGTATCATATTTGTAAAAGTTCAATTTAATCCTAAATCATTTACTTATTTAATTGTCATGATAAAATTTCAACATTTCTTACAACCGCTAGGCCACTTGCTATGATTAGAAATAAAAATAAGTGCGTGAAAAACTAAAAATACTGTATAAAAATCACATTCCTTCTGACAACTACAAAATTTTTTGAAGCAGCAATTCAAGTGTAGAAACGCTTCTATTTTTAGTGCATTTTACAGGTTTATAATCAACATCTTTGTAGCTTAAATACTTATGAGTAGAAGTGTTTTCTACATAAGTAATTTTGAGTCTTTTGCCATTCTCCTCTTCTATTGAGGGTAAATTCGCCAATTCAACAATCATCTTGGGTCCGATTAATAAATATCGCACATTCTAATTAAATTAAAGAAACAAAATATAAAGGAAAAAAGAAGCATTCCCCAATGCTTATTAATTAATTTTATTTTGTTGTCTTCTCGATTTTTTATTTTATTTTATTTATTTTTTGAAAAAATTAATAGAAAATTGAAGGTGGTGGTTTTTTGGAGGCTTTTTTCCAACGTCTTGCCTTTTAAGTGACACCTATGTCCGAATATTTCACTCTCTTCTCGCACCCACCACACCTCCACCATTTCTTCTTCTCCTTCCTCTCTCTCTCTCTCTCTCTCTCTCCCCACCTCTTCCTTTCTCTCCCCGCTCTTCCACAACCTCTACCTCCGTCGCACTCTCTCTCTAAACCGAAACTCGCCGATTCCGTCTCGGAGTCTAACACTCTCCGTATCGGAGAGCTGCATTTGTTCCGGTAAGCCGATTCTCCATGCATTCTGTCTCCATCGACTTCTTTCAATCTCTGTTCGTCACCGCCATCTACCCGAAGCTTCTCAAATAGGAGAGATGAAAATATTTTAAAAACTAAAAAAAAAAATAAGAATAATAAATACGGTTTGTGCTGATAATTCGTTTTTATTCTGCTTTCTGGAAACAAACTCTAATTTTTTTATGCCATTTTTTTACTTTATCAAATTAGAAATTTTTGCATCTCTTTCTGTCGGTGAGGTTTTCTGTGCTTGTTTCTACCCATTTTCTGGTTCATCTTTTTGTTTTTATGTTAAATGATTTTCGTTCGTGTTTCCGATTTTTCCATTTATTTCCGTTTCGTAATCTTGAGCTTTTTCAGTGTCAGTGTATTACTGTAGCTCAAGGTATTAATTTGGATTATTTTGTGTTAATTTCGGATTAATCTGTTCAAATCCGTAGGATCTCCAGCTAAATATAGCTCCGTAATCAAGATCTCATCGTTCTCCGTTCTGCATTATTCGGCATGTCGTCTTTTTGTGATTTGCATCTGCATGACTGTTCATCGTAATGATCTCCAAAAATGGAACATCTGATTTTTCTTATCATTATTTGACTTAGATTTTAAGCTGAAATGATTCAAGTTCTGAAGTTTCTTAATTAATTCATTTGGTTTTACTTTTTCTGTCAACTAACAAATGACTACGATTTTGAATCATAATTTCTGCAGCCATTACAGTTTAATATGGACCGACGGAGTTGGCCGTGGAAGAAAAAGGCGTCGGACAAGGCGGCAGCGGAGAAAGCCGCCGCTGCAGCGGACTCGTTTGCTAGCCAGGCACTGGCTGAGCTTGTAAGTTCATTGACTCAGCATGTCGGCACCTCTCGGTCGATTTTCGTTATGCAGTTTTTAATGAATTCGTCACAGCAATTTATGTTCTAATTTGATGGATTCTTTAGATTTCTTGTGTACTTGTTAATTGTGGCAATGTTTATTCGATAAAAGTTGTGTTAAACGAGTAACATTATTCACTTGTGTATGTAAACACGGCCAAAGACGCGAATATTCGGTTGAGTTTGTTATTATTTTTGTTCTGATGAGTACTGTTGCCTGCTTATCTTCTTAGTTTTTTCGGAATTTTGGTGCAACAAATTTAGTAATATTGTTCTTTGTTTGTTTCTTATGCAATCAGGACAAGTACAAAAAACCAAATTATGTGCAAATTTCAGTCGAGCAATATTCGCATCTGACTGGTTTGGAGGATCAAGTGAAGAATTACGAGGGTCAAGTGAAGACATATGAGGATCAAGTCCAGACATTGGAGGATGAAATTAAGGATTTGAATGATAAGCTCTCAGCGGCTGATACAGAGATGACTACTAAAGAGAGCTTGGTTAAACAGCATGCTAAAGTTGCCGAAGAAGCTGTCTCAGGTATGATAATATTGACATTGGTGTAACCTGATTACAGAAAAAATAAAGTTACTTGATTAAGTGCTGATCAAGGATTTCTTGAGTTGACTGCATTTAGTGTATTTAAAATACTTGTTTGCTGCAGGATGGGAAAAGGCTGAAGCAGAGGCTCTGGCATTAAAAAATCATCTAGAATCTGTGACTCTTTTGAAGCTCACAGCTGAAGATCGGGCCTCACATTTGGATGGTGCTCTTAAAGAGTGCATGCGGCAGATACGAAATATGAAGGAAGAACATGAGCAGAAGATACAAGACGTTGTTTTCACCAAAAACAAGCAATGTGACAAAATTAAGCATGAGCTTGAAGCAAAGATAGCTAATTTGGATCAAGAACTCCTAAGGTCTGCTGCTGAAAATGCTGCTATTTCCAGGTCTTTACAAGAGCGTTCAAATATGCTATTCAAGATAAGCGAAGAGAAGTCACAAGCTGAGGCGGAAATTGAGCATTTTAAGGGCAACATTGAGTCTTGTGAAAGGGAAATAAATTCTCTGAAGTATGAACTGCATATAGCCGCCAAGGAGCTAGAAATTCGGAATGAAGAAAAGAACATGAGTATGAGGTCTGCTGAAGCAGCCAACAAGCAGCACGTGGAAGGCGTTAAAAAAGTCGCTAAGCTTGAAGCAGAGTGTCAAAGATTACGCGGTCTTGTGCGGAAAAAGTTACCTGGTCCTGCTGCACTTGCACAAATGAAGCTAGAGGTTGAGAGTTTAGGCCGAGATTATGGAGAAACTCGACTAAAGAAGTCTCCTGTTAAGCCTTCCAGTCCACACATGTCCCCACACATGTCCCCAGTGACTGAGTTTTCTCTTGATAATGTACAGAAGTTTCAAAAGGAGAATGAATTTCTGACAGAACGTTTATTAGCTATGGAAGAAGAAACAAAGATGCTGAAAGAAGCTTTGGCAAAGCGTAACAGTGAATTGCTGGATTCAAGGAGTATGTGTGCTCAGACAGCCAGCAAACTTCAAACATTAGAAGCACAACTTCAAATCCACAATCTACAGAAAAGCTCGCCCAAAGCTGTTGTCCAGATCACCTCTGGAGTTTCATCAAGCCAGAATGCAAGCAATCCACCAAGCGTAACCTCCCTGTCCGAAGATGGTAATGATGATACCAGAAGCTGTGCTGAGTCTTCAGGCACAACATTGGAGAAGAACAATGCAAAGTCAAACAAATCTGAAAGTCAAAAGGATTTGAATCTTATGGATGACTTTCTGGAGATGGAGAAGTTGGCTTGTTTGCCAAATGACTCAAATGGAGCCGTCTCTGTTGCAGATGGTCCAAATAGGAAGACATCCGAAAGAGAGAGTGATGGTGCTTTAGGAGATGTCACTGCTGACAAAGATATCCCGTCTGAACAGCAGCATGAATTGCCAGGATCCCATCCCGAATCTGATGAAAGCCAGCTGCCACTGGTGAAGCTCCGATCAAGAATCTCAATGCTCTTGGAGTTCTCATCTAAGGACACTGATTTTGGGAAAGTTATTGAGGATATCAAACACGTAGTCCAGGAAGCACAGGAGAATCTATGCCCGCACACTGTAAACTGTGTTTCCGAGGAAGTTGACAGCTCTGATGCCCTATGTGACCGGCAGGCAAATCCTGATGATTCTGGTTTAACCACAGAAAAGGAAATCACTTTGTCCCAGCCAGCCACAGAGACCATGAAAATAATAAGCGAAGATCTGGCATCTGCCATTTCTTTGATCCATGACTTTGTGCTGTTATTGGGCAAAGAAGTGATGGAAGTGCATGACACAGTTCCAGATGGCAATGGATTCAACCAAAAGATTGAAGGATTCTCTGGCACATTTAGTAAAGTTATTCACGGAAACCTAAGTTTGGGTGAATTTGTTCTTGGCCTTTCACATGTTTTAGCAAACGCCACTGAACTCAAATTCAACGTTCTAGGCTTCAAGGGTGTTGAATCAGAAACTAACAGTCCTGATTGTATTGACAAGGTAGCATTACCAGAGAATAAGGTAGTTGAGAAGGATTCATCGCAAAGATTTCAAAATGATTGTGTCCACATTTCTAATCATTCAAACCCTGAAGTTCCTGATGATGGAAATCTTGTCTCCGGCTACGAACCAAATGTGGCGCCATGCAAAATCTCACTGGAGGAGTTTGAACAAATGAAATCAGAGAAAGATAACCTGGCAACGGATTTGGCAAGATGTTCTGAAACTCTAGAGATGACAAAGTCTCAATTACAGGAAACTGAGCAGCTTCTTGCTGAAGCTAAATCACAATTTGCTTCTGCTAAAAATTCAAATAGTTTAGCCGAAACGCAGCTGAAATGTATGGCAGAATCATACAGGTCACTAGAGTCACGAGCTCAGGAGTTAGAAACTGAATTGAATCTTCTGCGTGTCAGAACCGATACTCTGGAAAGTGAGCTACAAGAAGAGAAAAGGAACCATCAAGATGCTTTGGCCAGATGCATGGAACTTCAAGATCAGTTGAAAAGGTTAGTGTCAACCTCTGTTCCACTCGGTACTCGGTAGCATCTGTTGGTTGATAGCGAGTGAAAAAACATAATTGCTTTTGAGCATTCAGATCCTTTGGTATCAGGTTTTGAAATTGACTTTAACTTCTACATCTCTTTATCTTTTTCTCCAGCAATGACCGTTTGGAAGCTGAGACTGAATTCAAGACAAAGCAGGTGATGCTACATTCATTTTCTGGCTTTTAACAATTTGTTAATGTCACAAAACAGTCTGATTCTTTCAATCGTATCAAAAGAAGCATTCATGAGGTTGCCTAACTTATAGAAAATGAAAGGGACAAGGGGGCAACCTCATACTAAATCCTAACTCAACACTGTCTAACTTCTTCGTTTGAACTCGGAATTGAACATCATTTGCGCCTACGCGCTCGTGGAATTGAGCTCTATGTAACCAACTCGAGGTTGACTCAACTTTTATCAAAATGGTAAAATTATAATATACAAAATGTTATTCCAAGCTGAGCTTATATTTTTATTCAAAGCTCAGTTAACAAAATTTTAGAACTAATTGGGTCGAGCTGCTTCCTTTCTTTTGTCTTTTGGCACATTTACGTGCTTAAACGTTTTTTGTGTTGCCAACATTGATCTATCCCTGACCACTAAAACAAATGGATGCCGATAGCTTGAACATTTATATTCTGTGATTACAGGACAGGGAGTTGGCAGATGCAGCGGAGAAGCTTGCCGAGTGTCAAGAAACCATATATCTTCTTGGCAAGCAGTTGAAAGCATTGCACCCTCAAACAGAGGTCATGGGCTCTCCGTACAGTGAGAGGAGTCAACGGTTCACTGAGGATGAACCCACTTCCAGTTCCAAGAACTTGCAAGACTCAGAAAAAGGTGAGACGGAAGGCACTTCTTCTGCCAATGTAAACAGGGCGGGCAGCGAGTCTCCCATCAACCTGTATAACTCTGCATGCCCATCGGACTCAGAGGCAGGCGTACACTTAAAATCACCAGTCAGTTCCAAGAGTCCGAAACACAGGTCTTCCAAGTCAACTTCCTCATCTACGTCTTCTACCCCAACACCAGAGAAACATCAGCGTGGCTTCAGCAGATTCTTCTCCTCGAAAGGAAAGAACGGTTATTAGGCTTGCAGCTCAAGAGCCTGAATCACATTTTCTGGTAGGAAATACCGTTGAAAGTAATAATTGGAAGAAGCACCGAAGACAGAGACCTCCTTCATTCGCGCTATAAACGCCATTTCCTGGGAATTTCTGGATGTGAAGATATAATCTGACGAGGGGAGATACTTGTGAAGGTAGATGTAATTTTGTAACTAATGGTTGTATATGATATCATCCCATATCTGTTTATTTGTTTTTTCTTCTCTCGCACTCCGCGTATGTATTTTCGGGTTAATTGGAACAATGACATAGTTTATGAACTGTTTCGAAGTATTTGAATACAAATGTATGTCACAGTTTTTATATGATTTATCATTCGTTTCGGCAGAAGAACACCGGATTTGACAATTTGCTCCCAGTTTGTTACTACGGGCTTTGTATCCAGTCGGGCCTGTCCAAGTCCAACTGTATTTAAATTTGTAAATATATACTATGGGTTCTTTACTTAACCCACTGGACCAAATATCAAATGCAGTTTCGCACAAATAATTAATAAGCGAAGAGAGTTTCAAATTTGGATGCATAGGGAAAGACACTGCGCTTACCAGCTTGGTTAAGATCGTTTATACATGTCAAGAGCATTTAGGCCCATGAGATCCCATGTTTGATTTTGTGTTCCCCTATGGCTTTTGGCATCTTTGGATACCAAAAAAGTAACCGAAAATTATACATATTTGAGGCATGCCTTAGATAAGTTTATTTGAGAGGGATACTCTTTTACGACCTAGTTGCATTATATTTCAATAATCATAGCTTTCTAGTTATTAGGTTTCTCTCAAAGGATGTACTTACAAAAATTATTTATATCCGAAACTACTTAGCCACTTAATTACAGAAAAATCTCTATATAGTCATAATGTTGGGATTAAACCGATTTTATAACATTAGATAGGTTATTACTTAATAGAGTTGTGCTTAAAAAATACTACTTTTTGACTTTATCCTTAATGAAAGGTGTATGGATACAAATAGCTGCATTAGTAGCGGAGCATGCAAAATTTCAAGATGTAACTTTAGAATCAGATTTTTTTTTTATGACGATAAGGAGGTTATTCCTTTATAGAATATTACTATATAGAGATTTTACTGTAAATAATTGTCATTCTACAGTTTTTATTGAAATATCATGTTTGTTTATTTTTGCGGGTTGCGTTTTGGGGAAACAGTGAGAACTTAATCTAATACTCTATACCGCGTTTGATTCATCTAATGGTCTTTTTTAAAGTGTTTCTCACGTGTCTTCGTATTAAGATTTTAGGTGGGAATCACCGTATAATCAAACACTATCTTAACGATTAAGAATTTGAGTGAATTTTAGCAAAATAATCTCTTTATGATGTACTAAAAAAAATAGAGTTGAAATTTCTAAACGGGCCACACAACGTAGCTGAGGGATCCTAAGTAGAATCCTAATGCATTTTTTGGTCAATAATCTTAATGGATTTTACACGATCCCTTCATTTCGCACATCTTATGGAGGAATTAATCACTTCTTTTTTTTTGAATTTTGCAGGCAACAAAGAGTTGCGGAGGTTCCTACAGGGCAGTGGATATACCCGTACGGGGCGTGCGAAAGTGCCACTCCTGAGTGCAACACTTACGGCGGCGAACATATTAGTCGTAGATCAGCTTATTTTCTGCTTTTGTAGAACCGTTAACAAATGAATTACGCCTACAAACGCAGTGGAAATTGAAACACTATTTGCCAGCAGCAGTTAATATCAGCTTATCTTCTGGTTTTCGAATATTCGGGATTTTAAATTTCGCTTAAATTAAGGCTAAAGTTTGGGCTTCGATCAGGTTTCGGATTCGTTAGGGCAGACGTAGTCAAACCTTTGGTTAGGTTTCGGATTCGTTAGGATAGACGTAGTCAAACCTTTGGTTTCTTGCACGACTTTCTGTGTACAAGTCATGCACAAAACATTTTTATCTGTTAATTAATATCATAATTTACAGATTTTTACATTTAATTTATTTATACAAAGTCAATTAACGCTGTAAAAATGATTGATTACTGTCTTAGTTTTAACATGGCTGTTAGTTGTCCATAAAAGATGAAGATCGGTCCATGCATGCATGCTGCGTATATATGTCTGCAGGTTTACATTTTAGGGTTCAAAATTGTTTTGAATTTTGTTTCATAAAAAAGGATCTTGTAAATAAACCTGTTGTAACTGGGTTGAACTTAAATCTGGGTAGTTTTTCCTTCGCTTTCGTGCTGGACTTCTTAAAAGTTCAAATGAGTGGGATTGAAACAGTTGCTTGCTGGATAGCTGGAAAAGTTGAAGATGAATATACGTTCTATAGGAATTGAAAGAAATGTGGTAGCCCACGGTTTGCTAGAAACATAGAAATCTAATATATCCATCTACCGAGTTGAAAATCCAACATGCCTACCCTACAACGTTGCCCACCTCCCAACATGCATGGCTCTCCTGTCCATCACCCAACTCATCTCTCACTCTCCAACCCTCCAAAGAGGGAAAGAATCAAACTAATTTACAAACGCATTATAGTCAATGGCATTTAAATCCATCCAAAGTGCATTTGGTATAGTCTTAAGCCTTTGACCCTATCAAAATTTCAGAAGGACGGGATATCGGTTTATTACTAATAACACCGAACAAAAAGCCTTAGTATATTTAGGAGTGAAATTATTTTTATTAGTTCTAATGTTTTTTGTGAGATAACTGATGTGAGACTTTTTGCGACAAGATTCTAGGTGGAGATACCCTCAAACTACATCATTTCATAGAACACTTTTTTCATAAGTATAAAAACCTCATGTATTTTGATTTTACTAGACACCACACTGGTCACTCCAATTCTTCATGATGAAAATAATCCAAGAGATCAACTTCGATCCATCCAAAGTACAATTTCGTTGAGTCTGGACTCATTGAGATGAAATAATATCATGCATGTACGTACTTGTTCTTCTCTCTACTTTTTCGTGTTGACATTTTTATTGTCAAATCAAGATTTCAAGGAGGTTGAGTTTGCATGCACTTTCTCCTTTTCCTTTTCTGAGGTGAAAAACACTATTAGAAAGTGAACTTAAGTCTTTTCCTTTAAGTAGATTCAATCGAAATTTATTGCCCTTTTCCTGACACCAAAATTTTTAATTTTATTTTAGCCAGACGTTTCTTTCAAGCCATCTTAGAAAAATCAAAACTTCATGATTTAGAGGAATCAAGACTGAAAAAAATCGAGTGAATAATCTCCAAATTAAAGGAAGTTCGATACATAGAGATTATAGACATATTATCTGAAAATTAATCTTTCGTCTTTGTATACATATAATTTCTCTAATCTTACTATAGCACATGTGATTTTTTGTCTCTTTTTCAAACGAGTGGCCCCTAAAGTTCTTAGTTTTGAGGTCTCAATCCAAATTCTCTTGGCTTTATTACAAAATTAATTAATTAATTAAACCCGTCATTTTATCAAAATCGGTGAGAACATGCATGTGTTGGATAAGTCAAGATTATCGTACAATAAACCTCTCATGTGTCATCTTGTGTTTTCACTTTTCGCATAGTATTAATTATTATGTGATTGAATTCTGACGTCATAGTTGTATGTAAAATCTTTTCATCTAAATAAAGCAACAAAAACTTCATACATCCTCATACTTCATCCTTTGGTATAAAGATATAACAAAAATAAGTTCTCAAAAAAAAAAAAAAAAAAAAAAGATATAACAGAAATAAATAAATATATTCCGTAATAAGTAGGGAGTTGATACATGAACACGCATAGAATCCCAGATCCACCCATTCTATTATATATGTCGAGACAGAATCGATGAAATTCAGTTTAAGCTTTTCATGCGAGTGGTAACTTTTAAACTAATTAATAAAATTATATATATTACATAGTTTGTAATTAATCGGATACAGGAGAAAGCTTTATTAGCATGATTCAGTGAATAGAGGTATTTGTTATTTTATATTGTATTTCATGGTTTTTCCAAGTAAACGGTCTACTTCTCAAAAGACTCCTCCACTACTGCCACTAGCCCAACTAGCCATGTTATCTTCTACGATCTTCATAGGGTTACCATATATTAGATAGATATACGAGTTAGGATCAAGAGATACTTATTTTATTTATACTCATTTTGTAATGCCAATTTTATATTTTTTTAAGAATCTGAACCGTTTACATTTTAAGTAATCATTCTTACATTATCGTGATAAAATATTAGACAAATTCAAAATCATGAAGACATTAATTTTTAGTGAAGAACATGGATAAGTTTTTAAATAAACACTAAAATGACTGTCTTTTAATCCAACAACCAGTTGATATCGGATTTTAATGATTTTTTTGTAAACATTACTTTTGAGAAAAGACTAAAAAATAACAGTTTAGATTATTAAAATACATTAGGATATGTACCCTACAAAATGACGGTTAAAAAGTGTATTCCCCGTCCTATTCCATATAGATAGGGATATTTCAAACTTCTGTCAATTAAACTGTAAATTCATGACCTCCAAAGTCAAAGATTTAAGCAGATCTTGGGGCCTGCCTTAGGGTTTTCTAATCTATATCAACTTAAATTACTTAAACCAAATAATTAAATCTTTACAAGCCATTTTGGGGGTTTGTTTGTTGCACTTTTGATAACTAAAAGACCCATGAAGTGTGGTCCGACCCAAACCAAATGAAAGGTATTAAGAAAGGAAAAATGAAGAAGAAAAGGAGAGAATTTTTTTTAAGGAATGGGCATTTCTTGTTATATATACTATGTATTTCGTTGTACAATTTGGTCCTTGTATGTCAATACCTTTCTTGAAGAAAAGCTCATAGCAGTTTGATCTCCTAGTTAATCTGACCACTTTCTCATGATCAAATCCCATATGTTTGAGTATTCCTCAAAAACCCTAACCAGCCATGTCGTCATATCACTCGAATAATGAAGTTTTCCCTCATTTCCTTGATCGCTATCAAATGTTTTCCCTAAAATTTCCTTGTGCAGGTGGGATCTTATCTTTTTTCATTTTCAATCGTATTAGTATATCCCATAATTTCTTTGATCCAAGAACCTATGAAATTAAGAGTATTCCTGTAACGACTATTATTATCATTGTTAAAAAAAATTAGTTAAAAAACAATCAAGGCATTTTACAAGAAGAAAGCAAACTTTTTTTAGGTTTCAAGTTGAAACTTTCAACTAGAAAAAAGTGAGTTTTGTTCAAGAGAAATGCTAAGGATGATCTGTCAAACGTGGGACTCTCATAAACTCTGTCATCTTATGTTTTTTGCACAATATTCTATAATATTGACACATAAATTAACGTTAA